TCCTTGCTTTGATAGTTTTTTCTTTCTAGTATTTCTTTCTTTATTGTATTTTGTTAAAATAAAACACCAAAAAACATACTATAATTGGTATAAATTTGGGGGGAGCCAAGGTACCCTCACCCCACCAGCTGCTGCAGGGAGGGGGCACTGTATCAAGACACCATTTCTAGGAAGGTTACCAGTCATGGCATGAGACCCCATCCTATCTTGTTTTGACTGTTGTCAACTATCAGTAGCTCATCCACCTTTTGACAGGTCCTGTTTTTCATCCTGTGGGATGACACACTCCTGTATGAAAGAGAATTTTATCCATTGATTAATTTAGTAGTTATATCTCTATGCTAACATGTACTGAAAGATGAACTCTCCTGCGTAGGAAGTTGTAAATGTACAAGGGAAGGTTGATAAGTTCCCTGCCCAACCAAGAAATTTAAAATAAAATCTTTATATTTGGTGATTTGTTTAGATTTTGGAAGCTGCATCAGAAAGGTAATATTAGTTATTTCCTTCTAAAAGAAAATTCTCTATTCATTGACCAAGAGAAGAGCTTTTAAGCAACCACTTCAGGTTTTGTCTTTAATTCTACCTAATGCTGTACATTGAAATTTATTGCAAGAACAGCATTGCAAGATTATGTAGCAGAAGCAGCAATTTTAAATGTTTAAATATATAAGTAAGGTTACCTGTTATTGTCTGGAATTTTATATTTTTTCAAATCAGCCTTAAAAAATTTATAAAACTGAGTATAAAAGCTGAAGATTAGCAATTTCACATTTTCCCACAATGATACGTTGAACATTTTCCATCAGACTTAAAATGTAAAAGATCTGTCAGGATTAATAAGATTAAAAAAATCCCAAAAATGTACAAAATCATTTTTTTCTTTGTCCAATTTCTATGCTTCTTTGTTAACAATCAAGTCTTTTCTTCTATATATCACATTCCTTCAGGACATAAGTAATCACAGCTCTCCACAACTTCCTATTCAGTTTTTTTTTTCCTTCTGGTCTTCAGTTCTACCATCCATTCACACAGATAAATGGTTTAATGTTCTGTGAGGAATAAGTTTCCCAAATCATCATTCATCATTATGAGTTTAAGGAATTTCAGCTGTTTCTTCCTGATTCTGTGCATTTTTTCTGTTGCTATTTTATGTAAGATTTCCTATTTGCTTACTCACTCCGTCCTTGAAATTTTCTGTGGTAGGTGGATGTGATTAAATATACTTTAATATTTAAAAAAAATTAATTCAGTATTATTATTGTTTATGTAATAAGCATTATAACATATCACAAATAGCTCTATTGTGGAAAAAGGAATTTTCGACAATATACACATTTTTTACATATTTATGGTTATTTTTTAACTTTTATCAAAAAGTGCATTCTTGTAAATGTAGTTATGGATAATATTATACATTAATTATTATTTTTTTAATTAATAACTATTTGTGATCAGTTGTTGACATTAATAGCTATCTGCTGATGTGTTAAAATTTTGGAATAATGCAATAATAAAAATTTAAATTTCATCTCTCTGATAGATGCTGCAATCTGTAAATTAAAATATATTGCAATGTGTATGTGTGTGTGTGTGTGTGTGTGTGTGTGTATATATATATATATATATATATATATATATATATATATATATATATATATATTTTTAGATATATATATATTATACATGAGTTAATGATAAATACAATGATAAAGAACAATATTGGTGGAAAATGTAAGACAAAGTGGAACTAAGTTTTTGTGTGATGTGTTTTATCCTTTAGGGCACCATCAGACTAAATTTGTTAATATTCATATAACTACACATGCACACAAGTGAGGCATGCTTGGAATTTTATATTAATTTTTTTTTTATATCTATATAATCTAGCCAATTTCATTTAGATTCTTTTTCTTTCCATCATTTTGGTTAGTAGATATCCCAGTCTGTAATAATAGAAGATCTGCAAGAACGGAAAAATGTTGTGAAAAAAATAAATAAACAGATAATAATTACTGAAATGCAAAAATTTAACAAGCAGATTAGAAAACTAATTAAAAATGAAAACAAATCATGGTATAGACTAATATAATATTACCCTACAATACCCAAACTTTAAAGTTTCCCTGAAACAGACAAAACAGGTATCCCAATTCACCACATCATTGATTTGTGATTTTTTTAAAAATCATTTCACCCCAAGCAAGGCAATAAAGCCACTAAGGCACAAGTGGTAACTGAGTGTGAGAAAATATGTGAAAAAGAAAGCATTATTAAGAAATAGTTACCTTTTGTCTTCTTAATTGCTGTTCTTTTATTGTCCACTCTGGACAATAAAAGAACAGCAATTAAGAAGACAAAAGGTAACGATTAACATTGCATTTAAATTTTTGAAGATCAATGTTGATTAGGAAAGCCAGAATCCAGTAGAGACACAAGGGGTTACTGAGTGTGAAAGAATAAAAGAAAATAAAATAATATTAAGGAGAGACGATAAAAGAACAGGAATTAAAAAGACAGAAGGTAACGATTGAAATCCACATTTAATTTTTTAAAAATCAAAGTTGACTGGAAAGCAAGAAGCCAGAAGTGAGTTCCACAAGTGACAGGTGTGAGGGAAGAAACTGTTTACATAAAATTTATGGTTACATCCAGCAGCCATTTCAACTGTAAAATGATGAGACTCAGCAGCCAATCTAGTACTGTCATATCTGGGCTAGAGATGATTAGTCTTCAGCTAAGAGTTCAAAGATGTCTATGCAGCCTTGTGGATGATTAATTATTCCTCATTCTAAAACCCCTTTCCCACAGACAAAACATCACAAGCCCCTCGTTACTCTATCACTATTTACATGACAAATGTTCTTATGGGCAGGGCTGTGGAGTTGGAACACAAAACCTCCCGATCCAACTCCTCTATTTTTGGCACCTCCAACTCTGACTCCTCATAAGTGATTATGACCTACAAATCATGTAAAGCCTATGCATACACTCTTAACTTGAGTAGGCCTATATCATAATAACTGGTTTATATCAATAAAGATACTGTGACTTTTATATCATACCTATTCATTCTTCAAGATTTTCTAATTAAGTGATTACAGCCTACAAATCTCATAAAGCCTATGTATATGCTCCTAACTTGAGAAGGCCTTTATCATTGTAACTGGCTTATATCAAAGAATAAAGATATTGTGGCTTTTATATCATACCTATTCATTCTTCAAGATTTTCTAACAGAATTAGAGACAAAATCTTTGAAAGGATATAGGAGAAATAACAATAAAAATAAAATGCTATAATGTAAGACTTTTACATATAAGTATATATACTTATATATATAAGTATATATATATATATCTTTGCAAATAAGAAATAAGTACAGAACAAAAATAAAACTACTTTATAACAGAAGTTGAAATATAATCTTTTACAGGTTGTAAAAGACATAACAAAAATAAAAATTCCATAATGTAAGATTTTTTTACATATATAGTCTTGCAAATACAAAATATCTACAAAAAATAAAGTGACTTTAAAAGTTGAGATTAATTTCTTTAAATATACAGTCAAAGAAATAACAGTAAAAATAAGAATTCTATAATGTAAGACTTTTTACATAAAGTGTAAATTCAACTAGAGTCAAAGTCGGTATAGTTTTACTGACTTCCAACTCCAGTGACCCCTTAATTGACTCTGACTCCAAAGCCCTTCTTATGAGCTACATTCCTTAGTTCCACCAGTTCATAGCTAAGAAATGCTATAACATGTACACTGTGATCAAACCATTTTCACTCTCTTTGTATTCCATTTTTAAAAAGGAATTTTAATTTGGTCAGCTTCTTCCCAAGAATTGTTACTTTGTTAAACAAACTCCTGAGAGGATGCTTCCTAAATCACTGCAATCTCAACCTGTTCATATCTAGGTTTAACCATTATCTTTTCTACATATTAGCATAATCTTTGCTTCTTATCCCTTCCTATTATGTTCATACAACAACATTATTCAGTAATCTACCTTGACTGGCTCTTTGGCCTTGTATTAAGTGCACAGTTATTAAAAAAACAGACTATTCGATTCCACAAAATAAGTAAAGAAAACAATCTTTTCCTGATTAAAATTTTGCATTTAAAAATAAAATCTGACTTTATCGTTGCAATGATGCAATCATTAAATGATAATTGAAACTTATAATTAATTATAAATGTCAAATAAAACTATGATAAATCCAAAACTGTGAACAGTTATGTTGATATAGTATATTTCCTATCTGCCACACAGTTGGAGAATTTGACACTCCTAGAACATACTGAAGGCACGAAGGACAGAGGAAAGTAGTGAGTAGCCTACATAATGAGTTTGTTTAAATGGTTGGCACAACAGGGATTAGGATGGGTAGCAAAATGACAAATCCTACCCAGAGTCACAAAAAACAGGAATTTGTGAATTTATTGATCCTGGGGAAAATATATTCTTCCAATCAAACCCAATTAAATATAAAATAAATAAAATTCAACTTACCAAATCAAAAAAAAAAAAATTTTTTTTTTTTGGTAATGTTAAAAAATGATATGTCAAAAATTCTCCACAAAAAAGTAATTTTCACAGAAACATTTGAAAGATGGAAAAGAAAATAGCTAAAATTGAATACAGAAAGATGCTGAGAATGCCATGAACTGAACATGTGAGTAATTAAGAAGTTTTAAGGAAAATAAAAACAAAATATTTGAATGAATTGAAACATATTTACGGCTTATCAACCACTTGTAGGTTGTTTAAAGCCAGAAAATATATTTTTAGATTGTAAAAATTTTTTTTAAGATAATAATGGTTTTAGTGATACAAGTCTTACTAGCTGAGAGGAGAAAAGATGGATTCATACTTTTCACAAGAGTATTTGAACATAAGTGAATATAATGAACTAAATTGGAATTGGTTGGCTCTCTGATTAACAATTCTGAGACATTATCTATTACACCACCCTCACATCCCAGCTTACATACAGCACCTGATATTTCCAAATGGTCACCCATCAAGGTACTGACCAGGCTCAATGTTGCTTAACTTCAGTGATCGTATGAGAGCTAGTGTTTTAATATGATGTGGCCATAAGCATAAGAAACAAAATGGACACTTATATTTAAACTCAGATAGAGATAATTGAAATTTCTCAGGCACATAATGAGGAAAGAATACTTGAAGAATTTAACACTCCCAGGACAGAGGAAAGAAGTGAATAATTTACGTAATGAGCTTGGGTAAATAGTTGGCAGAACAGAGATTAGGAGAGATAGCCAAAAGTCAACCCTTACTCAGAGCTACAAAAGACAGGAAGTTGTGAAGAGCCATGATCGATCATATCCTGAATGGACCATGTATATAGAAGGATTCAAGTGAGTTAAAATCTTCATTAGATTTTTAAGCAGAACAGAGATTATATTCATATAGTTGTAAAATCTACACTACTCATGTGTATAAATTTATTACAGTAGTACTTGAGGTGCCATTAATCTTGATTTATATAGTCAGGCATGTAGTGCAGCTGTCTTGTAATGCCTGACATTACCAAATGAAATTATAGACTCAATTAGTCACAGTTTAGTGAAGCCGCTATAACTTAGGTACTCTTTATTATTATCAAATAGTAAAAATGAATAATAAAAGAAAACATTGCAATGAAAAGGTTAGTGACTTTCAAACAGACCAATACCAAAAAACAGCTGCTTGAGAACCAAGATAGAAAAAAAAAAAAAAAACTCTGGGAGTTGAGGAGTTGACCATTTTGTGGGAAAATATGGAAACAAAAAAAAAGGATGCTTATTTTTATTTTATTTTTTAATCATTTCACTCCTAGCAAGGCAATTAAGCTACTAAGACATAATGAGTTACTGGACAAAAGCTAAGCAACAAAAATGAGGATATTATTTTCATCAGATCCTGAATTAACTACTAATCACTTTCCTTCAATTCATTCACCTTCAAATAAACCTGAAAATTATTATTTTTTTTAATCATTTCACAAGTCAATAAAGCCACTAAGATGTAAGGGGTTACTGAGTGTTAGAGAATATGAGAAACAAAGTATTAGAGAGAACAATAAAAGAACAGGAATTAAGAAGACAGAAAATAACAATTGACATTGCATTTAAATTTTTGAAGATCAAAGTTGACTGGAAAGCAAGAAACCAAAAGAGAGTTCCACAAGTGAGAAGTGCAAGAGAAGGAACTATCAGAATAGAACTTACGGTTACATCTAACCATTTCCAATGTAAGATGATGAGACTGTGCTGCCAATCTAGTACAGCACTTAAATTCATAATGTCTAGGTACCATAGAGGAAAGTTCATCAAAACATTTACCATGTATTTATAGAAAAGACGCAGAGAATCAGAAAAAAACAGTTGAAATTTATTGGGCACATAATGAGAAAAGAGGGCTTGGAGAATTTCACTCACAGGACATATTTAAGGCAAGAGTGACAGGAAAACAGTGAATAACCTATTTACACAGTGAGCTTGTGTAAATCATTGTCAGAACAGGGATGAAGAGGAATTTTTTTTACAATGATGTTCACCCTATACAAGGCCCAAGAACCACTTGAGGTAGAGTGATACAAATCAGCAGACACTGTCTATAGGGATATGTGGGGAAGATAACGGGTGACTCTAAACTTGAACAAGTTAAGATTGTAGTAATTGGGAAAGTATCCTCTTGGGAGTCCATTTCACAAAGCAGCAGATCATGGAAAGAAATTGCTTGAGTTGAACTTATATCTCATCAATGGAATACAATGTGAATGACAGTGGTTCACTAGAATGTGCATGTCATGGTGGATTTTAGTCATGAAGGTTAGAACTAGTGGAACTAAAGAATGTAGTGCATTTGAATACTTTCCATGGAAATAGCGATAGAACAGTCAGAGGCATGCAATGTTTCATCTATGGGAACAAGGTTGCAGGGTTAAAAATAATTCATCACCCACAAGGATGTGGAGACACTTTTGGACACTATAAAGGCTGGAAAGTGAAGACTGTGCAGCTGCTGCCCATATCTGGCAGCAGTAATTTATATAGCCTGGCTATATAAATATTCATATAACCTGACTATATAAATATTTATTTAGGTGAACTATAAAAATAAAGTACAGGGATAGCAAAAAGACAAACTTTACTCAGAGCTACAAAAACAGGAAGTTTTGAAGAGCCATGATTCAGAGAATAATTCGAGTGAGCTGAAATCTACATTGGATTTTTGAGCAGAATTGTATTTGGCAACATTAAAGCAAAGTGAAGGTCGTCGCACCAAGTAAGTGCTTTCGTTGATTCTCATTGCGCTGAATGCCAAAAGCTTCAACCCCAAAAATATCAGATATAATTGATAATAGGCAGAAAGGGAATAAAGAAAAAAAAACGAAATTCCCACAATGCAACACTTTCTCCTCAGGAACCTCCACAAGTTTCCTTCTGTCTTTCTTTGTTGTTGTTTTTTCTCTCTTGATATATCAGTTTCCCAAGTTCATTTTCCTGATGCCGATTCCTTTTGTACTAAACAAAGGCCAGGTTTCGTGGCAACTCTAAAGTTGCAAGAAAGGAGAAAATGGTTCTTATGCTTTACCTAGGACTGTTCCAAAGTGTGTATATAGTTAAGGGCGGGGATCAGAAGCGAAGGAGAAGCACCGTTGCAAATAGGGATTGAGTTGAAAAAGAAAGATCCAAGACAAAAATCCTAAAAAAAATAAAATAAAATAAACGTAAGGGATGAATAAAATGAAAAGGAAATGTGTGTGTGTTTACACTAATGTTCACCCACATAAAATCGAGGTTTACTGTCCAAATGGTTATGACAAATGAGGTGTGTGATGTAAATGAAAAAAGAAGTGGTAGGAAGTGAAGTGAAAATTATGAAGATAAAAAGGATAGAAAATGACTGACTTTTGACTTGAAAAGGTAGACTGCAGTGTTTAAGGAAACATCTACTTTGAAATCTGTTCTACAAAGTAGCAGTTAATGGGGAAAAAGCTAAGTGGAAGTTTCTCCTTATATTTTGTTGTAGTATCCCTACAGACGATAATGGGTATGTCCCCATTCCCATAAATACAGTAGTGAATACTGTATGTGTTGGGCTGCAGTCTGCAGTTGTAGATTCAGGGTGGAATGCAGTTGATTACTTGTACGCTACGCTGGCAAATCTTATATGTGTTGTTCTTGCCCTAAGTATTATCATTCATTACCAACCTTTGAGTGATTATTCTATTCAGTAACCTTCCCTAGGTTACAACACATTTGGATTTTTTTTAGTAATGTTCACCTAATACAAAGCCCAAGAGCCATTCAAGGTAGAGAGTTACTAAATGAGGTTGATGTATGAGCATAAACACGAGAAGGGCAGTTTATAAGGATAAGTAGGAAAGGTAATGGTTAAATTGAGTGATTCAGTTTCTACAGCTTATCAACCCTTTGCAGGTTATTTAAAGCCAGAAAATATTTTTAGATTGGAAGAATTTTTTTTTCAAATGATAATGGTTCATTGATACAAGTTTTACTAATTAACCCATAGCGGCGGGAAAAGAAGTGTATTCATACCTTTCCCAAGAATATTTGCTCTTAAGTGAATATAACGAACCCAACTGAAATTGGAACTTGACTCTCCAATTAGCAATTTTGAATCATTATCCATTACACTACATATACATCCAAGTTTACAGCACCTTCTATTCCCAAGCAGTCACCCATCTAGGTAATGACCAAACTTGATGTTGCTTAACTTTGGTGATCATACTGGAACCAGTGTTTCTATGTGATGTGGCCATAAGGCACATTAGCATTTAATACTAGATTTGAAGAGGTTAAGATTGGAGTAGTCGAGAAAGCATCCTCTCAGTAGCAGTTCTTGGGAAGAAGCTCTCTGAGAGTGGATAATAAAAAAATTGAATACAAAGGGAATAGGGATGGTTATTTCCAGTGCACATGGCATGATAGGTCTTAGATGTGAAGGTCTGAACTAGTGGAACTAAGGAATATAGATTGTCAGAACATTTGCCATGGAAATCATGATAGAGTAGCAGGAAGCTTATAACATTTCATCTGTGGGAAAGGTGTTGTAGGGTTGAAAATAATGCATTTCACACATGACCATGTAGATGCTCTTGCACTCAATATGACAGAAGTGAGGATGATTCAACTCAGTGGATGTTTCACAGTATGTTCTAGTGTATGCGTGTGTGCATGTCACAGTTATGCATCCATTATTTTGTTTTTCACTGTTTAATTTTAAAACAAGAAATCAGTAATTAACCACTGGATAATAGATTTATCTCAGTCAATCAAATGTTAAGCCACATTGAAGAATGTGAAACTTTCTAGTTTATTCAGAAATCAGATATTCAAAGAAGAATCACCAGTCATTTTGTGATACTATGGTCGCCCACATAGAAAAAGATGAGGTGGGTTCATCTTGATCGCAAGGTTTTCTGTTTGATAGACCAGCAGATGGTTCCTTTTGAAGTTCAGTCTTCTAAGTTGCATCCACTTTAAACAAAGAGAAATGAGAAGTAAAGGGATTTTTTTAGAGATCAAGTGGCAACAAAACCGGAAATAGGATATATCCAGATGCTGGTCTGTATTGGCAGTCATGCTTGGAATCAGGGAGAGTTGTGGGGCACCCTTGTCTTTCGAGCATCATCATTTTGTATTGCCAGTCACCACATCAGAATGAGTAGATGGACAAGGAGTTGGGAGAGAGAAGAGCTGACATAGCAGAAGTTGTCCCAAGTATCACTTACCTACCCACCTGGACAAGCAGACAAATTTCTACATATAATATGGGGAAACAGGGTTTCTCAATGTGGTGTTTGTCTTTCATTGTGTTACCTTGTGAGCATGCAGCACTACTTTCACTTGTTTTGCGCAAGATTAATCCTGGTCCTGCCTTAACAAAAAACATGATGATGATGATGTAGGTAAAAATCATTTCTGATTTTCCCTTGAGGATTCAGATCTCTATTGTGTTGCTTGTAACTCTCATAAAAATTAGTCATGTCACCCTGCTGGACCAAAGACAAAATCCGTCAAATGTCAAATGAGCTTCTTATAGGAGCCAATGGCCAACATATATAAGGCTAGTATAGGGTCTCAGGCCTTCAATGTCAACCTTCCTATGGATGATGGCTCAATAAAAAAAACTCACTGTACTTGGACTACTGTGAATGCTTGAGTTGGATGTCAGAAAGAGCATCCAGCCTTGCCTCATGACAAGATTTCTGTCAGGCATGACCCGCCTTGCCTCAAATCAATATGACAAGATTTCTGTCAGGCATGACCTGCCTTGCCTCAAATCAATTTGACAAGATTTCTGTCAGGCAGGACCCACTTTGCCTCAAATCAATTTGACAAGATTTCTGTCAGGCAGGACCCACCTTGCCTCAAATCAATATGACAAGATTTCTGTCAGGCAGGACCCACCTTGCCTCAAATCAATTTGACAAGATTTCTGTCAGGCAGAACCCGCCTTGCCTCAAATCAATATGACAAGATTTCTGTCAAGCAGGACCCACCTTGCCTCAAATCAATTTGACAAGATTTCTGTCAGGCAGAACCCGCCTTGCTTTCTGCATGATTAATCCTGGTCACATCTCAACAAAAAAATGCAGCTATGATGATGACAATGATGTAGGTAAAAATCACTTCTGATTTTCTCTTGAGAATTCAGATCTCTATTGTGTTGCTTATAATTCACATAAAAACCATGTTAGTTGAGAAAAATACTTTAAAAAATCACTTTTAAAACCTTTCCGTTGGTATGGAGGGTAACATATCACCCTGCAGGATGAAAGACAAGATATGTCAAATATATATATATATATATATATATATATATATATATATATATATATATATATATATATATAAGGCTGGTTCTTTGAATGGCAACCTTAGTAGAGATGGTGTTCAATAAAAAAAAACTCACTGTACTTGGACTACCGTGAGTGTTTGAGTTGGGCATCAGGAAAAACATCCAGCCTTGTAAAACCTTGCCTCAAAATCATTATGACAAGATATCCTCTATCAGACACAACCCACTTTGCTTTATAATTAATCCCAAGGGCTATGATGATGGTGATTTTCATAGTAAACTAATAGAATGCTTTGAATAAGCTAGAAATTGGTCCAAATCCTTATTGCATTCTTTCTTTATATTCAATGCCGATTCAAAAATTTTGAATCCCTTTTATATATATATATATATATATATCCAAAGATGAGAACAAAACAAGTACAATTCTAATGCTAAACCAAATTTGCATCAGAAAAAAACATCAAACTTTGTTAGTTGTTTAAGGTGAGCAACATTGTTTACCAAAAACTGCTAGATCTGAATAAGACTTGAATAATATATTATTATAGATTGTTTATATATATATATATATATATATATATATATATATATTATTTATTAAAGACATTTTCATGTTTAACGTTGTTATTTATAGATACAAGTATTTAATTTACTCTGTTTATAAACTTCAGTATTAAATAACATTTACCAGCCTGAATGTCCACCTTTTCATACCGAAAATATTACGTTCTTTGACAAGGATTCGAACCTGCATTAAGGCACGCCAGTGTATATGACATTACAGATAGGATGCAGGTTCAATCCTGTCAAAGAACCTAATATTTTCTATGAAAATTTCTCGACATTTAGGTTTATAAATGTTATTTAATACTGTTTATCATAAACAGAGCATTTGCTTAAATACTTGTATCTATAAATAACAACGTTAAACATAAAAATGTCTTTAATAAATAAATTGTCGGACCTTGTCCATTTCTTAACATATATATATATATATATATATAAAACAATCTAATAAATAGTGTTTATTACTCTTGTTATCAATTCTCAAGAACAAAGAAAATGTATAAATTCACTTAAATATATTTAGATTTTATCAAAATTCTAATCATTGTAAAACAATAAAAATTTCCAAACAGTGAAGGTAGTTAAAAAAGCTGTGTCATAGGAAAACTGTCCTTTTGACACTCTGTCTTATTACAAGCTATTGTTTGCTATTCTTTCTTACATGTGACAATAGAATTGCTTTCTAAAACAATAACCATTGCTGAGGAGTGAAGGTAGTTATAAAAGTGGTGTCATGGGAAAAAACTGTCCTTTTGACACTCTGTCTTATTGCAGGCACATTTGTCCATGTTTGCTGAATGTTGCTTCTTTCTAATATAATATTTAAGTAAATCTACATGTAAAATATAAACTTATGTGCAAGAAGCAATAATTTATTGCACAAAAGAGAAGAACAAAAAACATGTAAACAACAAAAGTTTAAATGTTCTTATATTGTAAAAGTTCTGAAGAAAATAATTTGGCTTTTTAACAGGTTAGGTTAGAAAGAAAGTTTAAGAACAATGTTTTGAAGCATTTTCTATTTTGTGTTCATACAGATTGGCTTTTGCCTTTCAGACTCATCAATTTCCCTTACATCAAAGTGTGTATAATATCAGGAAAAGAGATTCTTTCAAATAGTTCAGAATAGGATGTACAATATGATTTCAATATGTGTCAGCTTTAGTTCAACTGAATGGACGCATTAAATCAATCAAGTATTGAGAAAAGGAAGTTATTGGCTGCATGACAATATCCACTAAATTTCAGCATTGTGCATCTGAACCTCAAAATGAATAGCCATTGGCACTGGACAGAATGGCTTCCAGGTTATGGCGGTCAATCAAAAGTTCAAGGAAGGGTGCAGCATTCAATGCACAATCCGGAGTTCATTTGACTGCAATTACTAAAGTCTCTATCATTTATGCACCAAAAGCCAAATTTTCATCAGAACAAAACATCAAACTTTGTTGTCTGATGTGAGCAGCATTGTTTACCAAAAACTGATGGATCCGAATAAGACTCACATTTAAAGGTAAATTTCTTATCAAATCACAAAATGAAAGTTGAAACAGCCACTCTTTTAGATCATTTTGCATAAAGTCTCAGGGTCCTATCCTTGTACCTAGATTGTTCCTATTTTTCATCAATGACCTTCTTGATGTCATGAATTCCAAACTTGATAACTCTGCTGATGACACAACTATTTATTCCTGTCTTAATGATATATCTGATCAGTTCAATAAGATCAAATTAGCAGCTGATCTAAAAGATGACCTAAAATCTTTTGTTAACTGGGGCAAGAAATGGCTTGTTACTTTTAATGCTTCCAAAATGAAACTGCTTTCTTTTAATCACCTGAGAGAACCCTTTTTGCCTTCCAAAAGTATGGCTGATGCTAACCTCCAGGAAAGTGAGACCTTGCATGCTCTTGACCTAACGTAAGATTAGGTTGAGTCAATTACTAGATCTGTGGGTAGGAATGTTGGTTTACTGTATCATGTTGGACAGTTTTTCTTGTCAGAATCTATCCTACACATTTAAAAGTCTACCAACAAGAAAATTTCATTAGAAACAAAGAAAAGCATACTAAAATGTTATAACAGTCCTTGTATATGGAAGTGAATGCTGGAAAATTTCCTCACAGATGGAAAAAGGGACTTGAAGCAACAGAAATCTGGTTCTGCAGAAGGATGCTGAGAATACCATGTGAGCAACAATGAAGTTTTAGAGGAAATGAAAACAAAAAGGAAACATACTTGACATCAGAAAGAGACAGTTGAAATTTCTAGAGCACATAATGGGGAAAGAAGGTTTGAAAATTCTGATACCCACCGGACAGATTGAAGGCAAGAAGGCCAGAGGAAAACAACACATAACCTACTTGGTGGGCTTGTGTAAATGGATTGCGGAACAAAGTTTAGGAGAAGTAACAAAAAGGTAAAATTTATTAAGAGCTATAAAAAACAGAAAATTGTGGAGAGCCATGATCACCTATGCCCTGAAGAGGCATGGCACACAAAGAAAGAGATGGGAAATAACACCCTTCTAGCTTTTATATTTATGATAAATTTTGTCTTTTCAAGTAATGATTTGCTATGTAAGGATACAGAAGGGTCTTATCTATCTCCTTTTGGTAGAGATAGGTCATATGACAGCTGCTTAAGCTCCATACAGTGACCAAAGCAGCAGTCAAATTCAGTTTGTTTACAGCAGCTAAATACAAGTTACTTTCTTTTAGTCTGGGCCAAAGGGCCCAGGCTGAGGCTAAATTTGCCTCCCCAGCAGCTTATAAGCCCATGGTGCCATTTTATGCTTGACTACACTGTCATGCTTGACTGCACTCACAATCTCCTGACTTGCTGTCATTTGTCTTTCTTTCTTTATTAGTGGCATATTATCACATATTATATCCCTTTCTCTGCTAGGCCTACTAATGAGATCTTCATAGCATAGCACATGCACTGATTCTTTCAGATATCTAACTCCAGTGTTCTTCCTTGTCCAGTATTTTTACCTCATTCCACAGAGGCTGATGAATCTTTTCCTTCTATACATTATCAAGAATTTCTTGTAGGTTATCCAGATCAGTATACACCTGATGAAGGTTACAGGGCTCAACAGACAAGACATTGGCATAACAACAACAAAGATGTGGACAACAGCCCACATGTAAATAGTGTAAATAATAAACAGGATTTGTTGGTAGCCTGATGTATGTCGCATTGTTTACTAGAAACTGCTTGATCTGAATAAAACTAACTTTTAAAGTAAACAATGAGGAATCAAACTAAACAGGATATGTTAATGAGAAAATTCTCTTTTGATGAACTCTCTGGGCTGAAAACAAGAAGATTCATTATTAATTAAGACATATTGAAATCTTGCAGAAAAAATTTCCACTGTTGTCATAGAAATTGTCTTTTTAATCCTCACTCATTTCAGAATTTAAAAGTTCTAAAGTTCCAGGGAGAGATTGCACAAATGCATAAATTTATCTATTTGTATAGTTTGTCATGTAGGAGTTCATGCTTTTTCTTTGGTCTGAAATAATGTTAATCACTGCTGACTGGAATTGAAGCTGTTTTCTCAATTCTACATTTTTTTACATCATTCTGCATTGTGTACCATATAAAAGAATAAGTAAAATATTACTTACCTACTGATGGTTTTAGATACATGTTCAATGGTGTACTCAAAAGCCTCTACAAATGAGATAAAAAAACACACATCAGTCAGATCTTATTTACTCAACAGACAAATGGCTATTTTTTATTTTTATTGATATTTTTGTTTTTCAATCTTTACAATTTTGTTTATTCACCCCCTCACATTTTCAAGGTTCAGATTAGGTAACCATTATAACATTCAAGGTTCACATTGGGTGACCTTTATAACATGGAAGGTTCAAGTTCATTGACCTTTACAACTTTGAAGGTGCAGGTTGAGTGACCTTTATAACTTCAAAATGGTCAGGTTAGGTAACTTTGTAACTCTCAAGGTTCATGTTAAGTGACCTTTAGACCTTTATAATTTTCAAGGTTCATGTTAGGTGACCTTTATATCTTTCAAGGTTATTAAGAGCTTCAATCTTTTTTTTATGTTAATTTTAATAACAGTGATATTATTTTAACCTTGAATATAGCACAGAAAATAATTATCCATTTAATGATTAGAATAAGTAATAAGTAATTTCCATTTTGAGGAACTAACTGAAATATTATGGTAGATAACCACATAGTTACCCCACTTGTATAGAGATTATCTTTTTTGACTAAAGACCTCTCCTAGCTTAAGCCACTATAAATAGTATCTATTTTGGTTCTAAACTATTCTAAGCTCCCATGTCTTACTACAAATATTTTGAAGAATAAAGTTGATAAAAATGAATGGAAATTATTCATGACTCAACCTAATACAACTTTTGTCTTAATTTTAATGAGTGTCAGCCATTTTAGTGCTGGTTTGGATTAGCTTATATATTTCTTCCAAGCAGTGGATAAAAATACATTTCTTCCTTTTTTTGAGTATATAAAAATGGTCATAATTTTAAATTAAAAAAAAGCCCAAGAATTTGTACTGATTTCCTATTCTCAAAGAAGAATCTTTGCCCTTGACAAGAATTGGCAACAATAATTACATGGAAGAATTATTCTGCAAATATTTTTTTGAGAAATAAATAAAACATTGTTGGCTGAACTTAAATACTCACAAAATGTCTTACCAACTGAAATGTAAAATAGACATTATACAGTCATCTCAAAAGAAATTATACAGTCTTCTCAAAAGAAAATCTACACACTTCTTTGAAATTACAGAAAAATGATAGAAAAAAAAACTTCTTAATTCTTATTATTCCCAAAATTTTAGATTCCAAATAATGTTTCACTCTTGAAAAACTGTTGTTACTTCAGGGATGACTTAAAGCAATGGGGTGGTTCAGTACGTTGAAGAGTAAGGTAACTTGGATTAACAAAGAAGAATAAGGTAATTCAGGGTGATGAGCTGCAGGTATTGTTGAAGAAAAAAAATGCTTCACTGAATGTAAGTCTGTAAGTTGGAGAAACAGTCCTACAGTCAAAACAATAATAAAAACTATACCTGTCTCTATTTCTGTGATGAGGTATTGTAACTATTTACACTATTTAGATTGTTCAGACTAATGTCCTTATCTTTATTATCATATTCACAACATTTTGGCCATTGTATGTTCCACCCATTTTCAGCTGATATACGATGGAATTTCAGACCGAACCCATATTTTCTGGATACCTCAGTTTCAGTTATTTCTCTTCAGTAACTCAACTCTCCAAGTTATTTTTCACCTCTGCTGTGGCCAGGTATTGAACTCACAACTCTTTGAGTCAAGTCACTGAATTACTTCAACTAACACAATCTACCCCAGTGGATGAAATAAAATGTTCGATTAGAAATTCCAATGTATATCACTTGAAGAAGGCTATGATTGAAATGTTGTGAATATGATAATAAAGATGAAGACATTAGTCTAAACAATGTAAATAGTGTAAACTAAAACAATGTTCACAAAGATGATATTACAAGAATCCTCCAAACTAGTGGCAGGTTGGGTCTAAAAATATCAGTTGCCGGGAGAGAAAGGGGACCCACTTACAAATATAATGCTATCATTTAATTTTCATAATGAAAATAAAACTTTAAAAAATACAGATTGAAAAAAGGGTACAATTAAAGTTTTTGTGTAAAAAAATTTCTTAGTAATTACAGTGTACATGTGGTGTAGATATTACTGGCAGTAGATAAATAAAAATACTGAATGTTATAATTTAATTTTATATTTATTTTTTTTAATTTTAAGTAATTGGTTGATATTTTTCAATAGTTTACTGCACAGTTCACACATTAATAGATAATTTAAATGGAGAACAGAGCATTGAATGCATTCCAGTGTATGTTTAGAGCAACCATTTGTGTTCATTCTATTCTGCCGATAATGGCTTCTAAATCCAATTCATCTAACAATTCCTTTGCAATGGATAACAACATGTATGATTCCAAATTCTCCTCTGACAGCTAATTTTTTAACCCTGTCTTTATCATCTTTGAAAAATATTTTCTCACATTGGACTTGAGTGACTTTATAAAGTTCTTATTCCTTTCTATAACTAAAATAGTTGTCTGTGTTTGTTTCTTTATTGCATTTTTACTTGATATAAGAGGTCCACTCCATCAGGAGCCCATTTGCTCTGAGACAAGCTGACACTCTGGCCAGTCCAATACTGATCTGTAATATAAAATATAAAACAATCTGCACTGACATAATTTTCTTTTTACTTTTATATAAGAATTGTAGGAATGAAAAGAACGATTATCTTCCTTTAGTTGGAATGAAGTCACAAGGGTCATGTGACAGCCCATGAGTGACATCAAGTCATAGAATGATGAACACCAGTTGCTATTTATCACAGCTGAAGGCAAAATATATAGAGAAGAGAAGACTGACATCACAAGTTCAAAGTGGTAGGGCATACGGCATACAGAGAACCATATAGACTTATCAGAAACATAAAAGATACTACCAACCTGTCCTTTTTACCATTGGGAAATATTACAAGTAAGACCATCTCTCTTTTTGCCACTTTCACACTGCTTGTTGTATACATATGTTATAGTTTCTCTGTATGGAATAAATTAGTGATAAGTATGTCTATATTGGTGTAAAAAATTTAGTTGAGAACAACACATGTTTGCCATTCCTTTCTTTCAGTTACTCTGTTCCATCTGTGTATTAAGGTGTTACTATATCACAGATATATTAATGGGGAAATTCAAATTAAGAATATTCTCATTTGCGTAACATCATCAGAAGGAACATTTGAATGATATTATTGAAAAACATTCAAGTAAAAAATCAGTTTAATTCGTAAGATATCATAACTAATTAAGCAGATTAATTAATTCCTTTTTATGGTGGCAGGTAAAATGAAAAGTTTAAATGAATTTAACATCTACCGCTGGCTCAATTAATTATTTCAAGACAAATAAGATTCAATATATTTTGATTTCCATTCAATATCTAGAAATAAATCAAGAGTCTGGTCATATTATCAGTGATATGATCCCGCGAACATTAGGGGTTTCAGGTCTCTCAACATCATACTCTCTCACCCAGTTGACCTATGGCCAGGTACAGAGCTATCCAACACCATATTATTAATTATGAACAAATTTTTACAATATAGCTGACTTTGAGACTTTCTTATCTTCACAGTCAGCAAATCCTCCAATCAAATGCGATTCTGGACGAAACCACCAGAAGAAAGAAAGAATCCAAGTCATTGCTTTTCTTGATCAGATGGAGAAGGTTACAATGTCTATTAGAATGGATTAACTACAAGAAAATATATTCTATTATTCCATTAGGCTTTATCATAAAGAAAAAAATGTAACTATCAAATTTATTAATTAAGCTTAAAAGCTATAGTGTAACAAAATTGATTCAGGACATGAAAATATAGAAATATTATATTTAATAATAGAAAAAAAAATTTTTTTAACCTGATGCACTATATTTTTATATGCTTTTCATCATATTGAGTGTGATAAATTGATATCAATACTTTCCATTGTATATCTCATGATAAACCACATTTTAACTGAATGTGCTCACTTAGCCCCTGTAAGTCATAAATAGTACAAGCAAAACAACATGAAAAAACTATTTGAAAATACTGCAACTATCAAGATAATGTCCTACCTTAAAGAAATAGGTTTACAATAAAACATATAACACCGACAATAGACCATCTACAAACTATATATCTGCAAAACATACATTTACCCTGAAAGTATAAATTTATATACAAAATCTCTGTAGTTCAAGCTATAAAATTGCATACAAAATATTTAGATTTCAGCATGGTGTTGTTTTTGCATTATATTATAATCACAGAGATTGATATACCACTAGACAAAAAGAACCAAACCAAATATGGACAGAATATACTACTTTGTATTATATTATGACCAAATACAGACACAATATATTGCTTTTGTTTTATAGTATTACCAGATATAAACACAATTGATTGTTTTTGTATTACAGTATTATCAAATATGAACAGATTAAATAACCAATCAATGTTAATATGCCACTAAACAACCAAACCAAACCTTTGTATATCATACAACACAACCTTTAAATGAACAAAAAATATGTTGAAATCTAATGTTACAAATTTCTTAGATCAGTGACCAATTTGATTTTATCAAACCTTTCTATGATTAAGACAGGAGTAAACAGTTGTGTCATTGTCATGGGCACTGAGTTTACACTGGGGTTCACCAATTTGTAAGCCATGTTTCAACCTGCTGCTTGAGAGTACCCACCTGCATTTTTCTCATTTAATTACTTCTACAAGATCTCTTATCTTGATCTCGTCTCTGATCCATGTCACTGTTTTCTAATCTTTTAGAATTATCTCTAAAATTTTATCTTCCCATTGATCACTGTGCATTTCTAAGCTTGTTTGCTGCAAGTATACAAGTCTCTTTCCTGATTAATTCAATTACCACCGCTGTTTTTTTATATTAGAAAACAAACTAAAATTGAAATTCTTCAAGTACATTCTATAAGCAATAATTTCCAAATCCTTGTATATCCTCTACTTACCTGCAATCCAATCTCAGCACAAAATAGATTAAAAGATAATCCACATGTTCTTTT